TCACATTATTAGGCTATTCAATAAAACAAACCGCTTTTGAAAATATTAAGCCATTCCAGAGAAATTTAAATTATAGCCAGAAACAACCTTTCCGTACGACCTAATATATATGTTATGATCGTTTGTATGCACTTCAGGACCAAACCGTACATCTCTTAGGATGTCTTGTCAATGAAACCAAGAATATGAAGCAATCTATTGAGCGAATGGCGGATATAATGGAGGAATTGCCGGAAAGACTGATTAATAGTTTGGGAGGAATGCTAAGGATCGCCACTAATACTGTGGATGACTCCCACAATGTCACTGACGATGTTGATGATGAGTGATATTAATTTAGTTTTAAGATTAACGCTATTCTCAATATCTTTTCCATCGTTCATGTTGATTTGACCTACGTTCATTTCACCTACAATACCTATAATGTTAAAATCTTACCAAATCTATAACGGTTCCGACCACCATATCATTGCATGTGATATATCGTTGGAATCAGCTCAATGAGTAGATTAAGAAATTATCTTCTTTAGTTGAATTAAATAGTATTATCTTCTTTGACCATGGAGGAATATTAGCTGATCCAGATTAAGAAGTGAATTTCTGAACCTACTCATTGAGCTGATTCCAACAATATATCACATGCATTGATTCGATGGTCAGAACCATTAATATTTTAGTATTTTAGGTATTGTAGGTCAAATCATAGACAACCCATTTCCATATAATCGTTTCCCATATTAATAGTGTCTTAACTTTTTAACAAAATTTTAATGTTTTTTATTTGTGTCTCAAGAGTGCACTCAATGTTGTGATCAAAACATATCACATGTAAAGCATGTGTTGTTTAAAAGGCATTTCAATTATGATTTTACAGTATTTTATTTTCACATTTTTACCCATTATTTGAGTTGTATTTTTGAGTCAATCTAATCACGAATAACACGTGTTTTTGCAATCATTTCTTTGAGTTGTGTTTTACTAATCATTTCATTGCAAACTATTCACTGATAATAACCGCTATTATATATTATATTGCATTCATGTGTTGTAATAATTATTTATTTTTATGTTTTACTATCAAATCAAATATGATTTCAACTCAAGTGTTGTTTTACTAATTAACATGATTTCACATGATTTGGCACACAAAACTGTGCACAAATATACAGTACACTCTTACCTACACTTAATCCCTTTATAGAGATACTGTACTAAATGTAATCCTTATTTCCCAAAACAACTTAAACTGTGGTTTGACTGCAATTTGTCTGCAGGTGTGCCAAGTCTTGTGATTTTATGGGTGAATCGCATTTCATATCATTATTGAGTTCACTATAAATACCGAACAATACATATGACATGTAAAGCATGTGTTGTTTAAAAGGCATTTCAATCTCATATTCAGTGCCAATACTCCGACACATGAGTCGCACGTGTTTTCAATCAACAACTCATCACTCATTATAACCGCAGAGGAATGCCATCAAGAAGTGAATCAACGCTAACACAAGTCTTCGGAAAAGACTCTTTCGACAGATTTGGTGACGATTTGTGTCAATACGTGTTGTCTTATCTCACTCTCGAAGACCGGTTCCGATGTGAATGTGTGTCCAAACAGTGGAAGCGATTGATATATAAGACACAAACACGTATCACATGTTTTCACAAACTAAATGAGAAATCCTTTGAATGGGTGCTCAAGAAGTGCCAAAACATCACAAAAATTGGACTAATTTTTGGATCCAACGCTAACCCGATGTTTTCGTTAATTATAAAACATTGCAATCATTTGAATGCCATTTATATTTATTTCCAAGAGTTAAGTGTTGACACAATGACTAAATTTTTCGCAAAGTTTGCCAAAAGTTTGAAATCTATTAAATCGAAAAAATGTTATCCCGAAGACAACATAAACTGGAAGTGTTTCGACAATTGTCTCAAATTGTGCACAAATCTAACACATGTTTACAATACACTGTACTCGTTGTTCTCAGTGAACACTGTATTAACTTCACCGACAAATGGTGTATTGTTTGACAGATTAAACAAAATTGCATTTCATTACACGAATGAAGACGTCAATGGATTTGAAGTATTCGTCAAAAACTATGGAAAGACAATGAAATCAATTGATGTCATAATATATCCGAATTGCAGTGAGAAGTCAATCGCAGTACTAATGACTGGTTTGTCACAAATGACACAATTATGCGATTTGCAGATTAAACAGTGGTATTACAACACATACACTCCCATTGAGTTGAATACAAATCTATTGAAACAAATCGGTGTTTACTGTCGACTACTTAAGAGACTTACACTAGAATTGATGATTGTTTCCAATGAATTAATGTCACAATTAATGCAAACAATTAATACAAACTTCAAACAATTAAAACGTCTTAAACTGATCGGAAGTTTTCCCAAAGAGTTTGTATTCAACAGTCTTTCACTAAACCAATGCAAACGTATCACTCATTTCACTCTATGGTCTAAAGGCATCACTTATGGCGAAGACTTTACACGTGATATCGACAAACATTTGCCACATATTCAGTACGTGGAGTTCAGGGTAACTCATATAACGGATAGTGTATTGAACTCATTGTCTAAACTCCCGAAAATACGAACCATTAAACTGATTGGCACTCAACAGCTAACTCTTAAGCCTATTTATAATATGATCACTAATTGTCCCAAAATGACCACAATTGCTGTCAATGATAAAAATATATGGAAATCGCAAATAAAATTCATTCAATGATCACTATATTATGTTTATTTCCAGTGCGGTATAGATTCATAATTTGGGCCAACCTTTGGTGCCGATTGTTAAACACATCTAATTATCTACAAACTACTCATCCATGTCCACTGTTTATTCAATTTTAATTTAATATTACGAGAGTGAGTGAGTGAGTGAGAGAGTGAGTGAGAGAGAGTTGTTTTTTCTGGTAACAAAATTATTTTATTTATTTGGGATAATTTGTCATAAAATTATAAGTTCTTTAAAAACTGATCAAAATATGAATACAAAGAATAATCGTCTATACATTCATACATAAAATGTCAAAAGTTTACAAATGATTGAAAAAAATGAGTTTAAAATGCAAAATGATTATCAAAATGAAAATACGATTAAAAAACAGAGCGAACAATGATTTTAGGGAAACAAATGATAATTAAAAATCAAGCCGTTTGGAGGGAGTGCGTCGCCTTTTGTCGGGCGTACCGGTGCTGTTGGCGCTACCAGTGCTGTGGGGAGTGTCCGGTGTGCGGCCGCACTCAATGGACGCCACACTCGGACCCTCATCGTCATCGGCGGCGGAGTCGGCCGATTGCGGGGCGTCCGGTGCCTCGGCATCGGTAGCCTCGTCACTGACATCTCCGTTAGGTGTGGGCGGCGTTAGGCCGGCGTTCGTCGCCTTATGGAAGCGACAATAGCGACACGTTTTGCGTGTCTCGACATCTATGGCACAGTCGGCCGACCCGTTGACACACTCGCCGACCTC